TTACCACGGACTATACTACTTCAGTCCTCATCGTAACTCCGATAGGGATATGATAACTCTGATACTGTTATTTTAAGTATTTAGCTAAATATGAACCTCTTCTTATTTGATTTAAAAAGTGCAATTTCCAGCTTAGATAGGTTATTTACCAATAGAGGATTTGAATTTAATGAGGCGATTACTCACATTCATTGAAAACGTGTTTACCTAAAATAAAAAAAAAATAAAAAAAAAAAAAAATATATATATATATATATATATATATATATATATATATATATATAACTTATATATATAACATACATACATAGGTGTATTAAGTAAAAGATAATTCACAAAGCAGAAAATATTTGGCAAAAAAAAGCTTAAATAACATTCCTCTTGCTAAATCATATATTTATTTTTTTCATGAAAGTGCATGAATATTTATTTATTTTGCTTCATTAATAGTCACACACATCTGTATATACATATTCCCTTTGCAAAAACCTCAGTATCGATTCACGGTGTATGAATTCCGCTATGGAAATCAAACATTGCAGGAGAGTATAAAGTTTATTGATTTTCACTTAAATATTTAAATTTTACTGACCGACAATCACAGGCAGAGAGAGAGAGCGAAAGTTAAAGTTCGGTGATCCACTGATTTTTTATACATAACTATGTCTATTTTCCAACCAATGTCTTAAAATAGCCTAAAAAAATATATCATCATATTTTTTATAATGAATGCGAAGATAATCCCGTAAAAGTTTTCTCATGGTTTAAAAAATCAGATGTTTTATTGACTATGGGATATATGGAGGAATGTAAGATTTCTGCTTAAATTAAACCAGTGTAGGATACAACTCCGATATTAATCGGGCTATGAGGAAACGAAGTAAACGTTTGCTACCTCAACTCATTCAAGGGTTTATGATTCAGCATCATATTCAATATAAAGTTATAGTTTCTGCCGTTTTATCTACCTTAAAATCCTAGAAGAGTGTTGTAATTTGCAATAGGCTATATTAGAAATCCATTCCTAAAGTTTTCCTTTAATATTCAATAACTAGTCTATTCGAACGGGACTAGAGAGTACTTGAAAGTAAATTAAAACCACAAGCTCTCTTTATAAGGGACTGAAGAATACAATAAAGGGAAAAAGGGAGTAAAATGTAAACTATGCGGATGATGGAGGAGATGAGATTTCGGGTCGGAGTGAGTTTTGCCGCGGCCAAGTTTGTTTGATTGAGGATTCCTCAAAGTGGGCATTAGGTCTCGCTCAACCATCCAGGAATAAGTTTGAATTAGTTCATCTTAATCAAATCTCTTCCCTCCAAAAGCATTAACAAGATCAGATATACTTTTTCCTCTCCCCCCTTTCTTCCCTTACATAGTAAACTTTCCCAAATCAACTTTGTTCGTGACCTTTTTTTTCTAACTCAATAATTCTGGCTTTTAGGCCTGAAATAACCGAGGAAAGAGAAAGATTCTACTTTTTATTTTAAAGAAGATGAAAAAAAAAAATCAAAAGCGGAAAATTTCAAATAACTGTTTTAATAATAAATACAGTCCATAATAAAGAAATGTCTACGGCAAATGAAATTCCTCATACTACTTGACCTCGCCATAGTCCCCGCGGGCTAAATTGCGCCAACTTATTCTAAAATGTAACACCAATCACCTAGGCAGCGGTGACCTCATTCTGCAGTGTTGCCATTCAATATTTTTTTTTAAATAATAAAATATCAAATAACATATTAGAAAACATAATCATGTTTCTTTTAAAGTAGGAATTGTTTAAACCACACAGCTTGCTAACAATATTTTCCATAAAATCTTCATTTTTTTTTTTACGAATGCAAACTAAATTACAATAATTTGCATTAAATGATCTGATTATACGTTAGGTATTTATACCTGTCTCTTTTTTTATTGTTTCATATTATATTTCTTTTTTGCAATTTATGAAGAATTGGCTTCTGAAATTCATAGCAAAGAGCTCATTACCTTCAGACGTTATATGTCTTACAAATGAATTTTATATTTTGTGTACATTTTTTATATATAATTAGATAATTATTTTTTTTTATAATTGTTTTCATATTTTAAAATTATTCTTTGTAAACGATCAGACTAATGAAAGCTAATAAATTTTTATTGTTATTAGGCACTAAATATTTCTATCAAAATAAAATCTTTCAATTACTTCATTTATTATTATTATTATTATTATTATCATAAATTAGGATTAGAAAGTATATAATATATAGCTATTTAAAAGAAGTAGCTTGCTTCCTTTTAACAACTGGTCACGATTATCTGCATGGTTATCTCCAAGCTGAGGATCCTAGTGTACTGTACTATTTATTGAAGGGACAATGGATGCATAACACCTAGACACATGTCCTGTTTGGTTGGCATAAAAAATAAAACGTCTGTAAATGAATATGTGAAAAAAACCAACTAATTTATACTGGGCAGCAAGATGTTAGAACGACTTTGGCTTAGGAAAATAAAATGTTTTTAGAACAATAATATCAAAATTAAGACCCGGAGGAACTATCGGGCTCTGCGTTTATAGCCCCAAAATATCGTTTTTTTTTCTCGAGATAAATCGTAATTCTTGCGGAAAGCATCATAGGTTCTATTACTGTCATGAGATATGTATCAGGTGTTTAGATTTTAAAAATATAAATATTATCTGTTATAGTAAGGCTCGACGAATTAAAATGGTATATGCAGGAAAACAACTCTAGGATGCCTTTGGTGCCCTCTGACAGTGCAAGAAGAAAGCTTTGCGGAGTAGTCTGCACAAACCTAATACTTTTATCCGATTTTATGACTGTAAGGGCTCAGCAAAATTTTCATTCAATTATGTTTGAAACGAAAATGAAATCGAAATTTATTATATATATTTAGTAAGTTATCAATTTATAAAAATGATTTACACTCTGCCAAGATTTAACTAATGCGTTTCCTTTAATTTTTAATTTAAATATCCTTTACTGGAGTATCATAAATTTACAAATTTATTCATGCTTCTAAACATTGCTTTGAACATCTGATGTCGGCAAAACATAAAAGACTCAGATTCTCAGGTAGGAATAGTAAGACCATATTAAAAAAACACAAAAGTGTATTTTCAAAGTGATAAACTTCAATAATAATAATCTATAAAAGAAAAAGATAATGTAATTGAAGCAAATTGTCAAACATACCAAAAGGTGTTTAATAGAAGACACATTTATATAAATAAAAATAACATTAATAATTTAAAAAATAAAATATTTTGAAATTAAAAAAAAAAATACTAATTGATATATTATATATTTTACATCAGAAAAAGTTAGTTTTCCGAAAATCTTATATTCTCATATGCAACAGAATCTTTGTAGTACGACAAAAACTAAATTTTCAGAAAGGTATAACTGTACCGATTTCAATGATTTTTTTTTTTACATTTTGTCGCTAATTATGAATTCATTTGTAACATCTCGATTCGCTGAGATGTCACCATCACATAGTTTGAAATCTCCCCCTTTTACATTTACTTTTACATAATTCTTAGTATACAGTTAGAAATAAAAATAACGATTCGCACATTCTACGTGATATTTCCTTTCTTTCGAAACCTCATTCGTCAAAATCCATCACTCCTAAGAGCCGGAAAAGGGATATATATTCAGAAATAGTATATAAGATTTTATATTATACTTGTATAGGTAAATAGTTGAAATAAAATTATGGATGATAAGAAATAAATATGATGCCTTTGGCACTCCGGATAATATAGAAAGAAACGTTTTGATATTTGTATTTAATAAATAAAAAAAATAAAAAAAATCCAGGCATGGCTTCTGTATTCTGAGTAATACACTTCTATACTCTCTACAGTCTTGACTGCAAGTACTGGATTGGTATAAGTTATGGGATAGTTGCGTCTTATTGCTTAGATTTCAAAATAGAGGGATGTTTTTCAATGGAACAAGCCGATCACACATTAAGTAAATTATTACTTAATATTGCTATGCATTGAACAAAGCAAATAAGTTTTTTAAATTATTATTTTTTGGAAACAAAGTTGAATGAAACTGACTTCTGACATCGAAAACAGCATCAAGGAAGAGAGAGAGCAGGTAGATAAGGACCGACCTGTACCTGGACCCTGGGCAGGGCCTTTACTCGTAACTAGTAACGGGATTAGCAACTGGTTCGTTTTAGCGTGTTACTAGTCATTGTGAAGTAATAGGGTGACGTTAAGAACCAATGAAAACCATCCTTGCCCCATCCTGAATATTTCTATAAAATCTCCCGAGAAGTAAGAAAAGAGGTCTTATGTTGATATCCAGCCTTGAGGACAGGTCTTATATTGTCTTTCGGATGGGGACTGAAGCCTTGGCCCTACATAGATCATGAAGAAAGACCTGGAGGTTTTTGGACCTAGCTTGACTAGATAACCTCAGATCAGCGATGAAATCTACTAACCACACTACTTCATAGACAATAGCTAAGTTGTAAATCCCAATCCTAATATGTAAATATTTCATGGCAATAATTCTCTAACTGTCCATCCATGTTATCCAATTAAGTTATTTTAATTCTGCCACCTATTTATATCATGATGATCACAGGTAATGTTGGTAATAAAATTCATTAATTCTGGACCAATCAATATACTATAAATCCAAATTTATTTTACGAAGTTTTTATTATTAATTTTTATTAAACGTTTCTGGGTAATTATCATCAGTAATTATCCAGTATCATCCCGAATAAAATTCAACACTCCAAACATAGCAATATTTTGTTGAATAGACCTTCTTGTTATTATTATATTGCATATACGAATAAACATGTTTCACTGATGTCGTCTTTAAATCGAATGGTTAGGGATAAATATAGCTATCTAATGTAAGAAGTGTATTAATAATAACTATATACAGTAGCAATTGGTTGAGTAAAACACAGACCTTCGAATACTGAAAGAGAGGCAGCTTATCGGAAGAGGAATCGGGTCAAGAATAAGAGACGATTATAAAGAAAGGAACTGCTAATTTAAAAGGTGGCGGTAGGAGGCGGGAGATGGGCCCCCGACACGAACAGTCACCGCCAAGTACCTTCCACTTCCCCGCGTACCTCATCAGCCATCGACGTATGCCTCCTTTGCATGCGAGTATCGACTCCCACTTCGGATCGCCTCGGGTGTGAGCGGAAGGTAAAGAAGAATAGCTAGGAAATGATATATCAGAGGAGAAGGAAGCTAAAAAAACCCTTAAAACTAACAATAAATTGCACCGATTTTATAACTATAATCAATCAACTATAATTATTATATATTAATTATCTGAAAGTATAGAAAGATTTAATAAAAAAAAAAATAAAAAAATAAATAATAATAATTTTCTAGAGATTTTCAAACTAGTAATTTTGTTACAGTTTACGTTAGTATGAGCAAGTAATGATAACAACATACAACCCGTAGTTAAGCTTATTTATTTTTGGATTATTAATTTAAACAATGATAAAGATACCTTTGCTAAAAAAATAAATTTAAACCTCTTCTAAACCATATAAGATTTTTCATATTTTGTAATTACAATTGTTTATCAACAATTAATTGACATGTACCACTTTATTCTTTAATATTTGTTTATTCCGGACGGTTGTACCTATTTCTTCAACTTTGTCATAATTCTTATAAAACTTTAGTTCCAGAATGAAATCAATTTTTCATTCGTTATGTCATAAATCATATCTCATACATTTCATTCATTCAAATACTCTACTTATCCAGACGTTCAATAACAACCCTTCAACAGGCTACATTGAGAAAATTGACTGCTAACCTCCCCTAACAAAATAACGATTTTCCTGATCTCACTAAGCACCTGATAAGAAAATGGTGTGTAATCTTCTTTGTGAAAACCGTCATCAGGTGCATCCAATGGTGGCTTATCTTTAAGTTCTTTAATGCAATATTGTATCAACAGTAACATTTATCTAAACGATTTGAAAGTTAAAAAAAAATCTTTCTAATTGCCTATTATCTAATAAAATTTGTCAAGGATTCATTTATCCCCTATAGCTAGGAAGCTGCTAAAATTAAAATATAGTAAAATAAAAAAAAAAGTATTTTGGGCTAAAAATCGAACAACAATCTAACATACCCCGGTAGCCACTTTAAATGTCCCGCTACCATTTCCTTTTTTTTTTTTTTTTTTTTTTTCTTTCATGTTTAAATAAAGAATTCCACACCTTTTTTTTAAAACGTCCATATAACTCATTTAATATGCACCTGCTGTCACAACTTTCAGAAGAGAGCAGCAAATCCCTCTGCTACGTGCTGGATTGAGGCACACGTGGTTGTGCGCACATTTTTGTTGCCGGCACACGTGTCACCTAAACGTTGCAACGAACGTTTCAAATGTAAACATTCTTTTGTGTGAACTAATCATGCGTTAGTAGAATGTCAGTGTTACATTTTGTTTGTCGATTAAATATATTTTCACTGTGATAATTATTATTTTTGGTTTTCTACTAACACTATTTATAATTATTTGACAAATACATCTTATTTCTTTGGAATTTGCATTGAGTACGTGAATTTACAAAATACATTTGTAGCCTTAAAGGATAACATTTTAAATAACAATTTATAAGATTTGGTTTATCAAATAATCCGATTTCTCTCGTTTATTAAGGAAATTAACCGAAACCATCTCTGATCCTATCAAAAGACCCATTAGGATCCACTGAAGAGGAGCAATATAAGATAACGATTTTATCGGTTTATAGCTTCAGCGTTTCAATTTAATATAAAGCTTTTCAAGTATTCAGACACAATATTCTTTAAAACTGACCTCTCAGTATAAGAAAATCCTTCACGAAGAATTCAGACCGATGAGAGCTTAAAGTCATGGTTCTTGAGAAATTGATTCCTCTCTAGTTTCAAAATATTTTATTACTTTTCATTTTTTATTATTTTAGTTTAGTTTTTATAGGATTTAATAGTATTTTGTATGTATCTACTGCGGTAGTATATGGTCTATCCGTTTTGCGACGCACAAGAGCCATAAATTTTGACCAAAGGGGTGTAACAAAAAAAAATAAATAAAATTCATGGAGTAGTGACGAATTCGAATTCCGATCTTTAAATTTGTACTAAAACTCCAATAAAATTCATTGAAAAAAGTAGGAGGTCCTCAAAACGTGTTTTTCCGTTGAAAACTCAGATTCAAAAGTTATCACGGTTGCAATAAATTTTCTTAGTATACATTAGATATATAGGTAAGTGAAATTAAAAATTTTGTGAGTATCATGACAGATTTCATCAATATTTTAGATATATTGTGTATATTTTTTAAATATTTTTTTACCACTTATATGAAAAATCCAATAAAGGTCAAATTTGAAACTTAAGGATGACAGATAAAAGTGCTATGTTTATAATTGAAAAGTAGCAAGCTATAACAATAATATTATTATCGTAAATAAAAAATACAACTCGTAACAAGAATGTGTTGGAATCAGTAAATGAAAAACAAAATACTGATACAATAAAAAATTATTTAACAGGATTTTATTACAATAAATAGAAGAGCTGATATTAGCCGAGGTATTATCATGTGTTATTAATAACCAGTAGCGAATTCAGGAGTTAATTTTCTTTGAGAGGGGATCTATTTTTTATAACATTAATTATTCTGGAATAAACGAAAGAAACTATATGAAATAATGGTTAATTGATCCATGAAGGTTTCATAAAAAAAAAAAAGAAATAAAAAAGCTATTGGAGGAACAACATTGCTTCTAGTTATACATTTTGTTTATTATTTTCTTGACACTTATGAACATTTTGTATAGATATCGATATATAGATAATATATTGTGATTTTCAAGTATTTAGATCACTCACAGTAACAAATTTGGACTAATGAAAAAAAATATATATAGATTTTTAGCCCGAAAGTCTCCCATTTATTCGCCGTTTCTATTAACCGTCCATCATCTATTGTTGATACACTCATTTGTAAGAGTAAGTAAAATTAAACAAAACAAAAGTAGAGTATGTAAAAAAAAAGTAACAAAATTAATTTTTTCAAAGGAAAAAGAATTAAAATACAGAACGAAAAAAAAAATAAAATAAAGGAAATATATTACTTATTAATTCATAAAATTAATAGGTATTTAGATCAATTTATATATGCTAATGTTTTTTAAATAAATAAATATTTTATTTATTTTATTTTAGCCACTTAGACTACGGCTGTATGGTGTACGGTGGACTCTCGAGAGATTTCGAAGTCAAAATTAAACGCCTAATGAATTGCGCAGTACGTTTTGTTTTGGGAATATCAAGAGATACGCATCTCATACCGAGTTGAAGTGGCTCTATCCATCCTATCGTCGTTAGTAATTCCTAGCTATCTTTCTGTACCAGGTCAGAACTCATCGACCCTCCTATATTTTATAACAGCTTACAATTTAAATACTCCATCCAATCCCGTACCACTACATCTCGTACTTCCGACATCTATCCTCCTCTTCACCGAACTGCTGCGTTTGATAAATCCTTTGCAATTGAATCCGTCTCCCTCTGGAATTCTATCGCTCCTGATATTCGACACACACAATCATTTCCTCTTGCAAACTTCTCCTTGCAACACCTACTCCTTTGTCAATCCGACTGACTACGAAATATGCATAAGAGAACTATTTAAGTACCCGTAGAGACTATTTCTGATATTTTAAGTTATTTTAGTTTACTTTGTTTGTTTTATAAATATGTACCCTTTTATTTTCCTTTTATCTCTCATTTTTCTGTATTTATGGGTGATAAACATTCAGAAAGCAGTTGTTATACAGCTTTTTAATTATTTTTGTAAATATTTAATATATTTATGACCGCACAGACATGCATTCTGTACTTATAATTTGTTTTAAAGAGACAATAGTCCCAGAATAATTTAACGTATTTTCATTTTATTTCATTTCAATATTTAGAAGACATTGATACCCACCTATAGCGTGCAATCAGACAGCGTATCCCTTTGAGTACCATTCCCGTTATAACATTATTGAGTAAAGTTCTTTATATAAATATAGTTGACCTTATATAACAACCTTTAGCCCTTACCCGGCAAAAGCTAATAAGAGAAAATGTGTTTGAAATGCCAGGCGATACAATTGGGCGGGACAGAGGAGAAACGTCCCTATTGGAGTGGCTTCCCAGTTCAATAAAGGGGGGCCCCTACCATCGGACACTTATGATATAGACGTCAAGGAGCTTTGATATGGCAATATTGTGTCAATGCGGCCTTTAGTCCCAATTCTCTAACAGCCTCTGTTTATCAATATTGTACTCCTACTTTCCTGTACTTTGTTGCATTAGTATTTATTATTGATGATATTAATCGGTTTAACGTCTGTAAGGCGATTTCGATGGACCACTGTTTCAATATGGCATGCATTATTAATCAAACAGTTCCTACTGGATGGGTTTGTACTGAAAAATGTGACGGTAACTTCAGTTGAAGTTATTATCCACTTTTATTATTATAATATTTTAAATATATAAATCATAAGAAGCTGTCTCACTAGTTTAGAGTTCGAGTTGAAAAAAAAAATTGCATTGTTCCTTTTCTATATATCATAATCTTCAACTCCTAAGTCATCCAAACGTTCTTCTAACCATACTTCTTGCCAAGCGAAAGCCATCGGCGCAGTAAATAGGAAATAAATTCGATCTAGCAATACGAAATTTGAAAACTATTTTGTTTTCCTCACGCTGATCTCGAAACTATCCCATATTTGGGGAGAAAATTAATTCTTGGAGTATAAAAAAATATTCTCTACTAATGTCAAGGATAGCCATTTCTTAACCCGTCTGGTTCAATCTTATCTTCGCTAATATGGTGATTCTCTTAATATATGACTAGGAGTTAGGGTCCTGTTGATATTTTTTTAAATGTATGTTGTAACACAAGGTGTTTTTCAACTTCTGTTATTCAGATCTGAACTAAAAGTTATCTGTTGCTAGGGAAAGTAGGTAGTCGAGAGCGGATCCTTTCGTTCTGAAGCCTCCTCCAAAATGGAACAATAATATATTTTTATTATTAGCCCATATTTTTCTTGTGAATAATCGACGTTGAATATTTTAAAAATCACAATATATTATCTTTTAAAATTATAATATATGCAGCAATTTAATGTATACACGTGTCAAAAAAAGATTTTTAAGAAATTTATTTTTATTTTTATTTTTACTCAGGTCTAATAAAGATGACATCTTTCATGTATAAAACACTTACTTGACATTTTATCTTACAATCGTTTTCCAGAGTAAATAAAGAAAAAAAAGAAACAAAATTAATCCTAAATGTGTTAGTGGCTGTGCTAAGTACCGATTACAAGTATCGTAGTCCAATTAAATTAATTTGAAGTTTTTTTTTGTAAATTAAAAATAAGTAGAAACAATTACGAGTTAATATTGAACTCAGAATGTACAAAGATGAAAACAACGGGTGTCAAAATTTGTTGCAACATAAATATGAATAAAGTGCGAAACAGTCGTTTCCTAAGACAACCGAAGAAACGAATAACTAAAAAAAAAAAAAAAAAAAAAAAAAAAAAAAAAAAAAAAAAAAAAAAAAAAAAATGCCACCTCATGCAAAGATTTATGATTAAATTCAACAGTTACCGAACGCATTGCTAAAAAATTGACCAATACCTAAAACGAAGTTTTTCACCCAAATTTGGGGAATATTATCTTTGTATACTGAAATATATACTTATTCATTTATGATTATTAAACAAAAAAACAAACATTATTTTCACATAAATACGAATTTGAAGCAAAATATATAGCGACTACAATAATATACAGGGATACACCTTTTAGAGGACAATTTTATAATAACCCCGTCATATTTTTAATAATTTAGTAGTATCTTTCGGAGGTCTTCCGCATACCGAGCGCATTATATAATACTGAAGG